AATAACCGATTCAGCCGCGTTTTTCTCGTTTTAATGCCAATGAACACGTCTTTTGATCAGAATAACAGCTACGGTGAGACGATCTCCCTAGAAGCTATGTAAAGGTACGTGTTGTGATGTCTGTCTTTGCTTCCCCTGTCGCAAATTCGGATCACTCAGTGATGATACTATATACCTAAATAATCTGTGGAACCTCAGCTTTAATCGGATATCTTGTATGTGCAGCTACGATAAGTAATAAGGGTACTATTATCTTGAGTTCTGTGCCAATTTCCGTTAGCATTTTTCGCGAAGGGGTCATTTAGATGCTTCTTATGAGACTTGTGTTTTGTTTTGGTAAAAATGGTTTATATCATCAGTTAGCTGAGATTATTTCCGTTAATCTGGTATAACACATTAATAGGTTCTTAAATATTAAGATCCCCTGAGACCTTTATATATACAGTCTATGCCTGAGACACAGTGTCGTGAAAAAAAAAACCAGGGTCCCCGCTTGGGGCTTAACTACAAATTCAGGTTGAAATTGGAAAGTGAGAAAATCTAGTTAACGTTAGCTCTTAGCTGTTAACAGTCGGTAGGCAGCACAGACCTGCTCCTACAGTAGCAAACAACAAGTAATGGATGTTGACAAACAACAAGTAATGGATGTTGCGTGTGACATAATAATATGTTAGAGATGTATAAATAATGATGTAATAAAACATTATATATGATGTTCAAATGTCAAGTAATGGGATACATTTTTTCAAGAAAGTTGAATAGATACAGTTGTTTGAAAGTAATCTCTACAATATAAAAACTGAAATTAGAGAGGGAATTATGTCCTCTTTAACTCACACGAGCTCTATGAGTTGTTGAGGAGCATTATATTTAAGAAATGTTAAAAACAAGACAATTTATTTTCTAATCATCTGCACTTTGTGGTTTTATGTAAATAACCACAGTTATGGGATGGTTGAAATCATTTTTCAGAAGGGGTCAGAAGTTAGTCTTGAGCCTTGAACGTGGGGTCAAATTTGAAATATGTTGTCCTTCTCTCCATTGGCCTGATTTAATACCACTTAAACAAAGGAGTATTGAACTGTGAACAGTGTATTGTACTTTGTGTGCTAACATTACTCTACAGTGGACTAACTGTACTGAGTGATATCTCTCAGTCGAACAAAAGTCCTAACTCTGTATGTAGATGATGACAGGTGATCTGTTGGCTGCAGATGCTTCATGGATTAGTCAGTCAATCATTAAAGTCACAAAGCTGAAGGTATGCGACAATCCTCCTCTGTTATGTCACTGGTATGTGATCAGCTATGTTGGTAAACAGGGCAGTTCATCCACTTCTGTCTTTTTGTTATCATGGAAAAGTTGAGGATTGGCACATTTCAGCCTTATCTGAGGGCCCCCGGTGAAGTTACTCAAGGTGTATCATCTCAATTGCACAAGTATATTGATTTACACACAAGAAAAAGTGATGTTCGCTTGTGTCTTTAACACTCCCCTTTAGGCTACATTTACAACATTCCAGCGCCAAAGCTACAGGTCTACATTTTCATAAATGACAGCAATAAGCTTGTGAAACAACTTCAAAACTGTTAGCAATTAATTTCTCTAGGTAATAAATTGTTCTTTCACATACTTCATATATGTTGGGCTTTAAATTCAGACGACCTACATGTACTCAACTTTCGTCAAAGATGATAAGACTCTCCACTTACCCCTGGTTCAGATCGGGTTGCACTTCTGCCGGATACTTGTATTTCTCTGATGTGTGTGTCTGTGTCTCTGCAGCAGGACGTTGTGTGTCTGCGTTCGGGGCTGACAACTCGACTGCCACCTGTTCTTCCCCCGTCCTGGTTCTGTATGTGCTCTGAGTAATTGTATCCACCCACTCACTACTCTTTAGAACCCTATTGTGTTCAACCTCCGTGGCATCTGATTGCAGATCAGCCCTGCGAGTCAAAGTACCTGTGACAACCTGCACCCTAGCAGGCGTATCTGTGTCTGCACTTGCTGTAGTGACACTGCTGCTTTTTGTGCTTTCTTTGCTCACTTCAACTATTTTGTGTGGCATCGCAGTGAGTGAAACTAGCTCTCCTGCCTCTCTTAATCTGGGTGTGAGCATGTCTTCCTCTGTTGTGATCCTGGAATCAGCATGTACAGAGCTCATGATGCCTTTGTGACTCCGATACTGCATCAGTTCACTCAGGAGTTGCTTGTCCCCATTAGAGTGGTCTTCTTTCTCCAATTCCTCAGTCCAGTTTCCCCTGGACCCCTCCCCATGCAGCTCAGTGGAGGGTGGAGCAAAGTTGCATACCATTGGAATTTTCACCTGCTGAACCTGTGTGGCAAGTAACTCTTTTTCTCCTTCCTCCTCCCCCTCTTCTCTCACCTGTGGCCATACTGTGGTTGCTACTCCTTTCTCCTGACTCCTTGCATCACCGCCTACAAGAAACGTAGACGTTTCAATGTCCTGCACTTGAGCCTGTGGCCTCTGACCTGCTACTTTTTTCTCCACTTCAATTTGGCTATTGACTCTCTCTTTCCTTTCTTCATTTCGCACTTTAACAATCAACCCCCGAAATTCTCCCTCATCTCTCTTTCTTATCCATCTTTCAGCACTCTCCTCTCGCTGTGGAAACTCAGCCTCTCTCCCCCCGTCTTCCATTGACATTTCTCCCCTTTCCTTCATCGTGTACATCTCTTCTCCCCTGCTCTCCTCTGCGTTGTCTTCTTCAGCACTGTAGTAGATCTCCATACCACTGCCTTCATCTGATCCCACGCTCAGGTATGCTGGACTTAAAGGCCCTTCAGAGCCCTCCGTTGGTCCAGAAGGAGCACAAAAAGACTCCCTTGGTTCAATTCTTATCTCAAGACGCTTTGATGCGCTCATTTTCTCAGGCAAAGGACTGACGGGACTGACAGGATCGGTGCTTGCTTCGTCCTCGACTAACTGTTTGAATGGGTTCACTCTCTGTTCAGAGGCAGTAACCCGAGTGCCTGCCGCTTGGGATGTTACACATTCAGAAATGGGAGGGGCAGAGCTTTCAACCTCGGGCACAGAACTGACATTGTCTTGAATAGGGCTAAAACTGTCTGATTTCACCTCTGAAAGTGTGTGGGTAATCTCTGAGTAAGGAATTGTATCATTGTCAACTGGTGCAGAACCTGAACTGAGAGAGGAATGTGGATATCTGGGGTTAATATCAATCGTTTCTGTCTGATATTCATTAAGCGTTTTAACCACGACAGGCTTTGATTTGGTGTTAAGATGAATAATCTCAGTATGGACCTTAGGTGGAGGGTTTGATATAGGGGTTGACAATATCTCCGAGGTAAAACTCTGGGGGAAAAGAGAGTCATACAAAGCTCCATAAGCAGCATATTCGCTGACAGGAGAACTATTTTCCTTACTAACAGCTGAAGTTGTGATTACACTCGAGGCAGTTTCAGGAGTAGATTTCTCAGATCCAGAAATTGAGAATTGTTGGTGGACAGAAGTTAAATCTGTGACTACAGCTGAGTCTTTAGGGTGAGGAACAGGGATTGAGTCGGTAATTGCAGCGTCAATTTTGGAGTCAACACCTGCTAGGGAGAGTTTGCCATTTTGCGTGGAAGCTATGTCAGGGGCTTCAGGTTGATTATGTGATACTGTAACTCTGGGGGATTCGGTGAAAGGGATTTCTGTTGTATTAGACTGCTGCAGAATATCATTATCACTCAAATCATTGCTTGTGGGGTTACCAGCGACAGCTTTGTGATCAGAGCTTGAAGGCTGGCTAGGTACGGTTTGGTTTTCGGAGGTGGCTTCTGTTAGAGTCTTAGGAGCAGATGGATCGGAGTTATAATGAACAGGAATGTTCTCTTTCTCCTCCAATGAGCCCAGATTATCCATCTCAGGGATGGTAGCAATCGGTGCTTTCTGTGGTTCCCTATGTACGTCAAATATACTTGAACCAGATGACTGTGATTGGTTTTGGAGAGTAAAATATGATTCTGAGTGGTTTGTGGCCACAGGGGGAGGAGAAGGGATGTCGAATGTATCGAAGGTTTCCAGCTCTGGTTGAGACATGCTGAACTTCCTGTTGGCCTGATCCGACTCCAACTGACTGAGGTCCGAAGGAGTCTAGAAGATAAGATGATAATAGTCCAATCATCACAGGTGTATCAGAAAAACTAATTTTTAACCCTGCAATAGTAATACAGACAATATCAATTCAATGATGATAAAGAAACTGGGGCTATGGATAGATCAGACCAAATAAATATGATTATACTGTAAAGCTACATAGATTATAGTTCATGCACTATATTTGAAAATGTATTTGTCACACGTTTAGTTTAAACAACATTCAGGGAACGGGTTTACCTCCTCTTGCTCTTCAATGTCAGGTCGATGAAGGCCAAATACGCTCTTAGAGATTCCCTCTTCATTCTTTCTTCTCTTTTTAAAACCAAAGGAGAAGGTAGCAAACCTTTTTGGCTTTCGCAGGTCCAACTCTGAGTAGCTCAACTCTTTGTTCTGAGAGGAAGAAGGAAAAATTAAGGGAAGTAAAGTGAAATAGCAAGAGATGAAGCAAGAAATGAAAAATGTGTGACTTATTTAATCTCAATTTAATAAACATGACGTGTCCTTCAAAGCATCCTGCATTAACCAATACTGAATGAAGCAAAGAACAGGAAGTGCAATTTTCAGAATTTTAAAATAACTGACAATACCCTGCATACCAAACACAACTAATCCTTTTAGACCCTTGCCAATGATTCCCTTCACCTGCAAGAGTTTACACCCTGACTTCAGGGAATTATTTGGGAAAGAAACCAGCGAGTGAATGTATTTTTAATTATGTTTTTACTGAAAGGTTGTAAGGATGAGATAATCTCTTTGAAAAGGCAAAAACAATATTACATCACAATTACTTTAACGGAAAAAAATGATAAATCTATAGGAAATATATAACCCTGATTGATTTCTCTTATGCCATGTAAATATGGTAGAATTTGAAACAACTGAGGGAAGAAAGCAAACTGAGGAATTATATTTGAAATAGCTAAATCAGGTGTTTAACGTTTGTTGCCAGAGGAAGACGTTTTTCAGATGTTGCCACTTGAGCAAAAACGTTTGTCTTAATAACATAAAGGCTAAAAAACCTCTCTGGTTCAGTCAAATCTGGTGAACATGTTGCGTTTAAGACAGATAGTTAATGGTACACAGTGCACTGCAGCGAAAAATATGTGTAGCAACAATGCTGTGATCTGATGAGAAAATGGTGACACATCAAATGTGGTAAAGTCAGGTCGGGGCACAGCTTCTGTGGTTAGGTTATCAGTCTATCATCAGCTGTTGATTGCCAAGACGGACAGAATGGCTGCCATAACTTCATTGACATAGATCCTGTCTAATTAAAAAGTTATCATCTTGAATGATGATACCAATGGAGACGTGACCTAATCACAAATGTATTTCTCACACACACATACATTAAGTCAAAGTCAAGGCAGGCCACAGCGGTTGAACATTCGTATGGTTATCAGTCTGTCATTAGATGTTGATTGCCAAGTTTGACTGAATAGTTGACATATCTTCATTGCTAATAACTCTAATCCTGTGTAATTAAAACTTCATTCCACGCAGGTAAAAGCACTCCACCCAAAACAATAAAAAGAAACACTATCTGAACACGATCGACTTGACACTGGTGGCTCCTTGTTCCGACACAGAGAATTGGATTAGTTTGGTTAAGGTTAAACAAAACAAATGCAACTTTATGTCATTTTTAATAACCGTAGCATACTGTTGCATGGCCTGAAGCAGTACAGTATATCATTAGATCTACAGCAAATACTATTTGCAGTCAGTGAGAGTCAGTGTATCACCAAACTGTTCCAAACCATTGCTGTTACAGAAACTTTTTTTTAACTGATTGAGATAAATGTCAATCTGGCAGGATACAGTTAAAACACATTTTTTTGGGAGCGACCTAGTATGTTGTATGTGTTCCTTATCAGATTGTTTAAAAAGACACTAAACACTGACTGATTGAGATGATGTTATTGTAATCTAGTGCACGCACATGTTTTGTTGAGACGCAATGACAAAGGAGAATGGAACCTGCCATCAGCCAGGTTTTTAACTAGGTGTGACCGTCAAATTCTTCCTTCTATGTGTAAGTTTGGAAAGTATGAAGGGCAAACACAATGAAAAACTATGGAATCTTAGCTGAGGTTATAGTGCGAGGACTGTGTAACACTGCTGTTTTAGACATATATCGATCTATTGTCTATCACTGTGATTCAGTTATCCGATATCCCATTTACTGTAAAAGTCCTACCGTTTCAAACTTGTTTTTTATCTTAATTTCAAATTAAGTTAAGTAGAACTTTGGAATCAAGTATTGACTGGAAACTTTGAATTTCATAGGTACTAAAACAAAAGCAGACTAAGTAAAAAAAAAAAGACAAAAAGAAAATTCTAATTCAAAATAATAATTTAGTATGCCATTAGCTAGAGACCTTTCACAGTGAAGGAAACTTAAGCAAGACTGCATGGATCACAAAGTTATTGGTCCTCGCTTCAGTTGACTTAAAATTGTTTATCACAAGCGTAAATGATGGGCTGCCTCGCACATAGCAAAGTTTCGATCTCAATAAGTTAGTTTTGCTGGAAGGCAAACCGTTGAAGCTGCCAGAAATAATAACTACTTTCTTAAAGTCTGTAATTTATCATTGGAAAGCTCGGAGTGGAATGGGAACACATTAATTACATAATATAGATACTGTAACCCCTTTACCATTATTTTCATTTTTCTTAATGTGCATGAGCATTTTCCTTGTATTGTATTAATGTCTTTCTAGTTTTATTTTGCTTTGAAAGTGTACAATAAAGAAAACACGCAAACATAATGGTTACTTACTTAAGAACACACATATCCTAAACACATAAACACACACTGCATTCATACAACCAACTCCTGAATTTCCTGTTAAAATGCTGCTCTGAGTGTAGAATCTGCCAAACCAATGAGTAAAACATTAAAGAAATATAATATATGAACGGGACTACTTTCTTTCTATGAAGTCAGATCAGTTTTGAGCTTTACCAAAATACTTTTGTTTAGTTAAGCACTGGCGCTCTCGGCTGGATGGAATAAACAGCAAATAGTGTCCTACTTAGGTTGATCTCACACCGTCATATTGACTGCAATGTTTTCATCACACAGAAAGGTGTTGGACAATATGTATTATGTTCACATGACTTTCTGTCCCAAACACCAGTATGGAAATTCAAACAAATAAAATATTTAGTTTCTGCTATTGCCAGTCTTAGCAAGGTCTCCCTTGAAAAAGAGATTCACAACCTAATGGTACTTCTCAGGTAAAATACATTCAAAATGTCACAGTAATGTTGAAATTAAACAATAAGATTTTGCAAATAAAGTATGAAATAATCACTAGCGATTTAAAACGTGAACAGACTGCTTGCACATACTGTGCTTGATTGTTTTTTGAGGATATGGTGCCCTCTAGAGTGGAGTTCTACATATAATTCACCTGCAGCCGATTGTACTGTATGTATTTCTGCGGGTGTAAATCAATTGGGATTAAGATTATTAAATCTAAAAGTTATCAAATAACAATGGATGAATAAAGCAATATAATAAAGAGTGTGACTTTTTTCTAGGTGTACATTAGAGTTACCATTAAGTGTGTGCCTTGGAGTGTAAGGGGATTGTGATTATGTACTGTAAGTTAAACCCTGAGGGAGATTCAGCAAACCCTCGAATGTCGTTACAGTTGAAAAGGAGAGTCATGAAGTTATCCAACAGAGGGACATTTTACTCAATTTCCCCCCAAAAAAACCGATTTCCCCCAAGAATATTTATGTTTCAACAAGTATACAGTATAAATGTATACATTTTACCAATGATTTGGGGAAGAAACCAGAATGTAAATGTCCTATTTATTCAAGTAAGAAAGAGAAGATCTCTTACAGCAACTAAATAAAATAAAAATAATGCACCATAATTACTTTTACTAACCTTAATAATGAATATAGAGGGATTTCTTATTCCACGCACATTTTATTTGACTTGCCAAATCATGTGCCAGAGGGACTAACACATAAAGTTTCAACTGAATATCATGCCGTTAGCCTCCAAGGCAGCAGAGGACAGGTTTCCAGATGTTGTCGCTCCATTCTCATACAGAGGAGAACGTTTGTCGTAATATCATGAAGGCAAAGTTTAAAATCTAATCAACAAAATAAATCTGTTGAACATTTTGTGCTAAATATAAATTGTAATGGTGTAAAGTGCCGAAGAAATAAGCTAAAATACTAAATACCCCATTCAGAATGTATACTAAAAGGAATTATCCAAATTGTAGCAACAAAAGTATGATAAGATGAGAAAATTAGTCCTATATACATTGTGGTAAAGTCAGGGCAGGGCAGAGCTGACATTTTAAAATGGTTATCTCTCTGTCAACAGCTGCTTGACTGAATACTTGACATATTTTCATTGACTAGACCTGTGTAATTAAATGTATTTTATTTGTGAATGATTATACCCAGGATGATATAACCTATATTTACAGCACAAATGTATTTCACACACAAAAAGGCCCAGCTTTAAATCATGATAGTAACTTGCTACATTTAGACACACTGCATTAGCAAGTTAAAATACTCCATAAGGGTGAAAACAATATTCAAAACCTGCTACAACCAGATTAGATAGCATTCACATAAAAGTATGCATGATGCAGCTGCCTTTACATTTCCTTTTTTTCCTTTAAGTAAGATATTTTTCTTTTTTTTTTAAGAAGTGTTTATATCATGGGCTTTGCTAACAGGTCTTTAGTGTCTAATAAGAGTAAATAAATACTATAACCAATGTATTTTGAATTTGATAAACAAAAAAATGAATTACTTAAGTTTGTTAATGAAACTTAGACACTTTACTACGGCATATGCCCAACTTTATTTTCTCAAAAGTGACAAATATTTCTTGCAAGCTAAAACTAATGCTGCGCCTATTGCTGCAAGACAAATGTATATACTTAAAATTGACAGTTTTTTTGTTATTAATCAGAATAATTGGTGTATAACTGAGCATAAAGAAACAATGAGACTATTGTAAAAAGGACATTTTTAGTTATTGGTGAACTTCAATGTTTACTGTACCTAACATCCAAGGAATTTGAGTGACTGTGAAACCTAAAAGGCAATCTTGTTAAACAAAAAGGTTTATTACTCATGTCAGGTCCCAACAAACCTTGCAGATGCCATTTCACATATATTGCCTTGTGGGCATTTGGCTTGACACTTTTAGACTTAACACACACCCCCCTTGACATAATTCTGTCAAAAATGTTTCCTGTTGCTCTGCACTGTTTAAAGTACTAGAACACCTATTGGTGATGGCTGATGGTGATTATCAACAAAATACCTGTGAACAATGTACACAATGAACGCAGTGGACTGACCTTTGACCTGGGTGCGGTGCCGTAGAGAGAAGACCTCTTTTTGTCTGAGGTGATGTTGTCAGACGTTGCTTCTCCACCCTCAACAGCACTGAGGGATACACAGTTAAACATTTGAAATTAGTAAATGCTATAACTGAAACCCACTTGAAATTATTACAGCTAATATGGCCTTTTATCATTTTTCAAATAGCAGAAAAGAATATGTAAATATAAGCTTTTTAAGTGCCGTTTTGTCCAACATGTGACGACCCCTGCTTCACTGCCTATGCTGGTGTGGGTGTGCCTTTGTGTGTGGGTGTGTGTGCTTCTCTCTCCCTGATTGTATCCAGCCAAGCCATGACAAACATCTGACATTTTCTTATTATTTTTTTTCTTACAGTATATGAACATTGGGAGACTTTTTGTAAAATGACTGTAGTGAGGTAGTATAGTGAGGACTACATACAGTCATCCTGTCTGACCAGCATAAGCAGTGGCTTAAAAAGACAGACAAATATGCTGCCTAGAGCAGTGAATCATTGCATAGGGAATGATGAATAGAAACTGACTAAGCAGAGAGGGAGTTTATGTTTCAGCCTTGCTTGGTAAGTATGACTTTTATAAAAAACAACATTCATCAGGATAAAACGAATTATTTAGTTGGGATAATTTCCATGTGCTCTATTCTGAAACATGTTTTTTATTTTTTACTGACTCTTGGGGAGGTCAGTGAGGTGGCAGGGGCTTCAGAGTAAATAGAGAGGCTCCATCAATAATCACGAGCTGTCATCACATAAAACAAATCCTACAAAGGTCGCTTTATGCACAAAGGCAGTCCTCCTTTGTACAACTGGATGCAACAGGAAGTCAAATTACCAGCAAACATTAGTAGCGGCGCCACATTTAATAACCCACTGGGACATAAAATCTCATGCGTTTTTACCAGTGAGAATGAGCAAGGCCTAAGACCCCATTTACACAGGAACGCAAACGAAACGCAAACGAACTCGATATGAAAAAAGTCTTCCGTTCCCACAGATACGGCTCAATAAACATGGACGTACACACGGAGCCGTTTGGCCCCCCAGAGCGTTGCGTCCGCAGATCTATCCACCTTGGGACCAGTTATCGTTTTAGGGGGCCGTTTCCGCGGTTCTGTTAAGGCCTCTTGTGAACGAACTGGCTTTACGAAAGAGAAAAGTAGCCGATACAACCCGTTTAGTTCCTGTGTAAACAGCACATAAAGCAGCTTCAACAGTTCAGTATTGACTCTCTATGATAGGCTCACATGGGACACAAATACATGCAAAAAGACAAAAACGTCACAAACATGTTGTGTTTAAACAGCTACACACTTGTGTGTATTTGTTTCTTTGACACACAAAATCAGGCCGCCAATCAGGCAGGTATTGCGAGTGTGAGACAAATAAGCCATTTAGGGGTCAGGAAAGATATCCAGAGATAAAAAGATGTGTCTTATCTTTGACCCAAGGTGTTTACATGTCAACTCAAGGGAACTATTTGAACTTGCAACACCAAGACATGCTATTGTGAAAAATATAATCCTGATATGGACGAAGTACAACAGGATGTTCTGTGCCTGTGCAGTATTGTGTGGGAATGCTTGTTTGCATAAAAACCAGAATGATATGGAGAGAGGGAACTAAGGTGAGGCCTCCAGCAGTGAACCACAAACATTTGCATTTGTATCATCAAACTGGCACACACTTGCTACAGCCAAGCACTGTGTTTTCTGTATGCACAGACTGAAAAAGGCATCAACCCGCGATAATTAATTGTGGTAATTATTGTGTTTCAATTGGACGATGTCACAATGAAATTATTTAGCGCGATATGCAGATACACATATTTGTCTTCCATATTCGACAAACAAGCATATTCAATTTTAAATATGTATCTGGAGCAACCAGCTAGTTAGCTTAGCATCATCACTGGAACAACTAGTCTGGCTCGGTCCAAAGGTGACAAAACCTGGTGCAAACTTGTTATCTCCAGCCAGGCCAAATGTTTCCACTGTTTCCAGTCTTTGTGCTGAGCTAAGCTAACCCACCTGCTAGCTTTAGCATCACATTTTCTGAGTAGACAAAACAGGCATCGTCAAATAACTCTTGGTAAAAACATAAACCCTGTTAGAAGCAAAAATTACATCTAGAAAGGCAAGTTTACTTTTTTCTCAAAGCGACTTACAATAAGTGCATTCGACCAAGAAGATACAAACTTGAAGAAAACAGAATCATATAAGTACATCAGGTTTCATAGAACAAAACATTTCAAGTGCTACTCAACTGCTTTCGATAAGCCAGTCATTTATTAGTATACAAGTGCTT